TTAATTGGAATTGCAAACTGAGACTGTATTCCAAATTCTGTTCAAGGTTATATTCAGAGTTCTCAGGAATAATTTCTCATTCAACTATGTTGAATGGGGTGTCACAATCAGTCTGGGATCCTCTATTTTTCAGTATTTTATTATTTGGTTGTGGAGATGGAAAAATACAACAGATCCAGAGTGGTATTCAGCAGGTTCGAAGAACTGGCATATACCACCTCTGACTGGCCCCACCCCCATCTATACTCTGCCTCCCGAGTCCCAGCTGATTGGCTGGGTCTTCTTTTATTGCCCTGCACAGGAGAACGGAGCTGGAAAGCAGGTTAGTGGGGTAGGGAGGGAATGAGGATTTTACAGTATCCTTCCCCTGCCACCTTCGCCAAGCCACGCACACAGAACCAGTAATAAAAGTTTTTGAATCCCACCACTGAACAAATCTGCAAATGATACAGTATTGACTGCAGTAGTTAATAGAGGAGAGAAGTAAAATTTAAGATTTTGCTGATAGATTTGAAAAAGGGCCTAAAAGTAAATCTTTAAAAAATATGTAAAAAGTTTTTCACTTATGAAGCAAAATCAAATGCAGATGTGTACGATGAAAGATACCTGACTTATTAACAATAGTCGCAAAAAATTTTTTTGAATTGTTGTTCATTACAGACTGAATATGCAGACAAAAATATATTGTGGCTGAAAAAGATGGAAATTCAATTTTAGACTGCATCAAATGCAATTACCAAATCATAAGAAGTAATCATTCCAGTCTATTCTGTTTATTAGGCTCCACTTCAAAAATGTGCTCAATTCTGGACAGCAATTTGTCTGAGAAGCTTTAATTTGGTCTCCTATATATAATAATGGCCTCAAGGACTGATTCCAACTGTGATTCTAGTGGTTCATAAATGAAGTAATCTCTGCTTTCTTTTTCAGTTTATACTTACTTTTATAAGGGTAAGGAATACTGGAAGTTTGATAACCAGAGGCTGACTGTGGAGCCAGGGTATCCTAGGTCGATTCTCAAAGATTGGATGGGTTGCAACCAGAAGGAAGTTGAACGAAGCAAAGACCGACGCCTCTCTCATGATGATGTTGATATTATGGTAACTATAAACGATGTGCCTAGCACCGTTAACGCAATTGCAGTTGTGATCCCCTGCATTTTATCTCTGTGTATCCTTGTCTTGGTATACACAATCTTCCAGTTCAAAAATAAAGAGGTCCAGCAAAGCGTGACATACTACAGAAGACCTGTCCAGGAATGGGTATGACAAGTTCAGTAGCTCATTTGGTTCATGAGATGATGATGGGCTGCAGACATTAGAAGGCGGTTTGATGGATAGACTGCCAAACAACTTCTTCAAGAGATGTGAGTCAGAGAATTCTGGGACTGAAAACAAAAACAAAAATCAACTAAACCCAGGTGGCCTTGCACTGTAGAGCCGCTTTCCTTCTGACTGCCTCAGTGCCGTGTGTCTCAGTATGACATATTTGACCAACCCACTCAGTGAGTGTTGGGAGACCTCAAGAGAAGTTTGCTTCAACCTTTTTTCAATTCACTTGAGCAATCTTCTTCAGTGCCCTCTTTTAAACCCAGCATTTGCCAGTGTAGCCAACCACCTATTGAGTATTTTTTTTCTACACTAGCCTCATAAAAAGAGACAGTTCTGTGGGTCACAAAAGGAACATTTCAGTACCTTCTGAAGAGGACATTCTGAGGCTTAGTCATTCTGAAAGATTTTAATTTATTACAGGATCCAGGCAATTACCTGAAATATCATTTTTTTTCCAATACCTGCTGGTCAGATGTTTTGTACATTCATGGTAATGTTTCCACTCTTCAGCAACAAACACAAGGAGCTCTTAAGAGGTAATTTTGTGTAGACCACAACTTCAACCAGCTCTAATGTCCTTTCAGATCACCAAAACTAACAGAAATGAAATTTCTGAATTCTACTAGTCTGCAAGACTAAAAAATTGAATTTACAAACAATAATGATGTGAATGCAGACCTTAATGATCTTGTTTTTAATAATGTGTCATGTAATAAATATTTAAATGTCATACTACCACTATTTTAAGTTGGCAACAATAAATTGTTACCATTATAAGATGAAATGTATGTTCCATGATATTTTCACCCATTTATATAAGAGAAAATAAATCACATATGCATTAGAATAGTCAAATTTGTGGGCAAGTTTGCAATGGGAATTTGGTTTGCAATGATGGAAAGGGTGACATAAATCAAAAAATATATTTTAAAGCTTGTAATTCTAAAATTTGACAGTGTAATTAAGCCACTGTTTATTGACATTAGTATATTTAAATAGAAGGGAAATAAGAGATGAAAAACATGACTAAGGGGGAGATAAAGGCCTTCAGAAGATTAGAGTTGGATAGAGCCCTGTCTGTCAATGTTCTTGGTTTTGTCTGCAGCCTGTCTTCCCTAGTCCCCTTAGGTGTTGCAGTCCAAAATGGGACAATTTGCCATGGTCTATTTGCCACTGCCAATTCACCATGGGACAACTCGCTGTGGGACAATTTAACCACTCAATTTATTTAAAACAATTTAAAATTATTTTAATTTTTGTCATTTACATTTCGTCTCTGTGATGACCTGGGGTGTGGCACAAAGGCAATACAGTCAAATAATAAGTAGGAGTCCCTTATTTGCTCCAACTTTGCCCCCAATGACCTGGTTACCTTCTGGGCTGGAGAAAAACTCTTCGAGGAACAGCCTTCGGCTGCAGAGATTCAAGTCCAAAACATTGTCAACAAAAACTGAAACTATAAGTCCAATCAAGGCAAAATGAGGTAACTAATCCGGCAGGGCAAGAGAAGGAATTCCAGACATGAAGGAACGGCAGTAATTCAACCCAGTTGGGAGGATGGCAGGAACGCAGATAAGCAGTCAACACAAGATAAATTTGCTCTTTTAAACTCTCTTCCCAAGTGTGGCTAATGAAGAGAATCAGGGGCCTTTCCTCTCCTGTAAGCCATACAACCCATGTCGCTCTCTTCTCTGTTCCTCCCTGCGTGCCTTAGGATGAAGGGGTAGGCCTGGGTCTTCCTCTTAACTCCCTCTCCCTTGTTCTACCTCTTTCCTGCTCTGCCCAGCCAGACTTTACCCTTCCCATTTCCTCCACAGCCAATGGAGCCACACTCCCACTCCATCAGCCATGCTATTTTCTCACGGTGAGTTGGTTGTGGCAAATTGGCCGCAGCAAGTTGTCCTAAACCCATTGCAGCCAATGTCCAGAGATTCAAATACAGCTTGACGGACGTAAGAAAAGGAAGGTCCTGAGATCAATCGACAGAGATTTTAACCGAATTTTTAAATTTATGGTTTTTATTTTATATGGCATTTTATTCAATGTCTGTAAGTTGCCTACAAGTCACCTTTGATGAGATGGGTGGCATACAAATTTGACAAATAAATAAATGGATAGACCAGTGCATAAGTGGAAGAGAGTGGGAAAGAGAACCAGGCATCTCAGCCTTGTCCTATTCAGTTTCCCAGCAGGGCCTTCTCTGGAATGTCTCAGCCAAAACCCTTAATCCTCTAACATTGCAGGCACTCAGGCAAGTTAGGGAGAACTTATAAGGTAGTTTCATATTCAATAAAAAATATTTTTGTTTTGGATAGTGCCTAAACAAGCCAAACCTAAATATGTTTGAGATCCAATCCACGAAAAGGGTATAGACTAAAGGTAACGTTTTTGTCACATTCTCATTCTAAAAACCCTGCCTCTTCTAAAGGAATGATGAATGGACTATATTATGGGATTATAGGAATCTCCCCAAGTGGCATAACAATTTATGTGAGCAAGTTCTCACACATGGGAGGTAGTATGGTCCTCTCCTCAGAAAACTTTCTTACTCATCAGAAAAGTTGAACTGGATGGTGGCTACACCGTGCCGATTCTGTTAAGAGAATAGGAATATACAACCCATTAGCAGAATGAAGGCTGTTTCCAGATTTTGTCATTTTTACGCAGAACCATTCAGATCAAAGTGGCAAGTTTTTAATGAATGCAAATCTATTGCTTTCAATCTTTCTACTAGGCAATAACCAAATAAAGGATGAAAAGGTGCAGCTTTTCCAAATTTTTACTGATTCTATTCTATAAATCCACTCCAAGCTGTCTTTTTCAGCTGGGCTGAAACATTAAGGCTCAGCTGGGGAAAATGATTGAAAATTATTCAAGAGAAAAATTAAAGAAAACAGATATGGTAAAGATTAAAGACTCATATTTCACACATATTACAAAGGGGAAGAAACCTAATATAGTTAAGTTTGTTTTTGAAATTGTTAGTTCTGTCTCAGCCCCAACATTGGAATTAATAAAAGTTATACTAACTTTTATGTATGTTGTAACTGAGCACATACCAAATAGTTCAGCTTGAAGATTGTAAAGCACTTCTTTAACAATAGATTAAAAGGCAGTGGTTTTTAGGGGAAGCATGTTGATGTAGCCTTGGGGATGCCTTTTTTGTGCATTCAACATGAAATGCAGTACAGACTGTATGTGATAATAATGTGCTATTATTATGTACCAAATTGGTATGAGCACACCATCATTTCAAGCACGATGACAGAAACACAGGTTAATAGCACATGCATTTTCAGTCCTAATGGTCAAGGTCTTCAGCCATTTCATTGCAAAGACATTTTAAAGATTTGGGCAGAATACCCACTTATGTTGCAAATGTTAATCTTGATTTTAGGCTCATTTGTTTATAAGATTTTACTGTACTGTATGCTATTAAGCAATCTTACAATATATTTCTAGTCCTGTATGAATTGATCTAAATATAGCTTGTACTTTGGAATTAATCCAGATGAGACTTAGAAAATGACCATAGCAACTTTTTCATAGAAAATTAAGAACCATCTGAACGGTTATTTCTTTAGGCAATTTAAAAGTGGGTAGGATTGAATTTGATCACTGAGAAGCCAAAGATTTCAAAGTCCACCATACTCAAAACTAAGGCTACTAAAAAAAAATTCCAATTGGATTTAATGCCAAGTTATTAAACTACAGTGTTGGTTAATAGAAATATATGCTGATTTGATATTGCTTGGGGATCAAGTTTGTACTTCCTCTCTTTGATACTGAGTTTAGTATAATTGGCTAGAATAGTGTTGAGGGGTCACATCTCCCACCTTCAGGTGTATTGAGAATTGCTGCTGCAATTTCATCTCAAGCCTTACATCAGATAAAATACTTTATGTACTATGCTCATGCTTGGTTTATAGTACGAACTTGGATTAAATTATTTCAGCCTTAGCTTTTCTTTCGATCATATAGGACTTAAGAGACATTTTCTGTTTTCAGCGCTGATATGAAAAGGCCTGCTTGCACATGCATTTAAAACTAGCAAACCTTTCTTCAATGTTATTCTGTCAATTATCTTAAAATATTTTTCCTCCCCTTAGTTTTGGGCCCAGATTAAAGCTTTGTAAAGTAACTTGATTCAGTCATTGGCAAAAATATTGCTATTATCCATTTCTCATGCCTCCAAAGAGGCTGAATCAAGTACATAGCTTGTCTTATTTTGTATGAAGAGGGACAGAAGGAGTAAAGTGGGTGCTCTAAGCCTTGCAAAGGTTTAGGGTGCTTTTAAAAACATTGGAGAAAAAAAATCACAAATATTGGAAGCCTGACCTCACCCACTGTTAAGAATATGTCACACATCAGATTCGGCTGTTAACAAAAGCTTTACACTTCTACTATGATACAAATGAAATTTTCATGAAATCAAAGCCTGATAGATTTATTGAAAGAATTTATCATTTCCAAAGGGCTACAATTTTGTCAAATTCATTCTAAAACTAATTATCTGTACCACATCATTAAAATGCTTTAAAATCTGATTATCTCATTAATGGTCCAAGAAATCTTGTCAGTTTCTAAGATGTAAGTTCACTGTTTATTTTTGTTTACTACCATAGCAAAAATGTGAATTTCAGTTTACTGCTTATCTACCTACACTCCACAAGTAGAGCCAAATGATGGAAACAATGTCTGGCCCTGTAAATTCCCATTTAAAAATACAAACATTTCCCGGATTATGTACAACCCGATTTACATAAATTCAGCTTTACTGAGCATTTTCTAAATGCATACAAATGTGAACTTTGCACAGAACACAAAATAGTACAGCATCCAGATGAACATGCAACCTGAAGTTATGCAAGATTTTCCAAAACAGTGCATAAATTGGGGATTGGCTATAAGCCACTGGACTCAATAGATTCAGTAGTTAGATGCTATGGTTTATGTTGCAGCCTTTAATCATGGTCGAAGCCATCCTTGGGTGCTATATATAGTTAGCAACTAATTGCCTTTCTTGATATTTTAATGAAAGAATTACTATATCTACAATGGAACTTATTACAAAAGTGTAAGTTAACTTAGCTCTGTCGTCATACTACTTATACTAATCTTATCCTACTAAATTTTACAGTAGTATCTTATACTACTAAAAGTCTATATTCAATTTATATTGACTGTGAGTTAAGTCTTTCCTAGCTTCTCTCAGCAGTGTATGAAAACTGCAGGAGTCCACATTTATGAGTCAAGAGAGCAAAGGTTGATTCTGTTGAGAGGCTAAGCAATAGGCAGCAGTTGAAGGTTAAGTATGTAATATTTTTCATTTACCTCCAGCTTACCCCTTTCTTTTATTTGTGTGTGTCATGCATGAGCTACAGAGAGAACAGATGAGACTGCGTCAGTCTGATCACTTACATGTATCATCACTTCAAATGGGAGATACAAAGCAATTCTGCTAAGGAATACATATATGGCAATGAGTTTTTATCATTTTAGTGTATGTTCAAGACAGCAAACTACAGTACACTAGATTGATAAAGCAAAAGTTGCAGTCTAACATGTAACTTCAATTTGATACAGCCAGCTCTTGTTTCAAGATTCACCTCAGTTCCATACCAATTAGTTCAAAGGATTAAGGTTTATTAAAGCTTTAAGTTTAACCTGACTGTGTTGCTATCATAAAAGGTCTTTAATTCCAAATTATATAACTGCAAGTTCTTTTTTAAGCAACAGCTAAGATGGTAACCTTGTAAGACATTGAAGCAATACATTTTTATATTAAAAGATAAGCATGAAGGCATCAGAAAAAGAACAGTTTCAAATTAAATCTATTTTTCCTGATAGAGAAAGACTTTCTATTAAAGAACAGATAACAGTTCTCTTTGGCTTTTCAGTGACGTCACATATGGACAAACCAGATTCTATTTATATAACCTCCTAAAAATCTTACTGAATGTTTGGCTTTGTTGAAATATTCCAGAGATTCTTTCAGCCCCTTAAAACATTGTTTTGGATATACAATGATGCATGATAGTAACATAGGCTACATTGTTCTGATCTAGCTGGCTAAGGAAATGTTATCTTGAAAACTTCCAGACTGAAATCAAACAAATGCCAGCCATTTCTGAACAGAAAACCATCAGGATTCTTCATGCAGCATTCTGGTGAATACTGGGAAAAAAATAATAATTCTTTTCCTTATTGTGATTGCATGTATGTATCAAGTTCTAAACTTTACCTCATGAATTAATGAAAGGAAAAGAACACATTAACGAAACAAAGGAACATAATGTTTTTTTCTTGTTCAAGTCTGTCTTGCCAAGGGAAGGGAATTTAGAATAATATGCTTTTGAAACTATGATTGTAGTAGAGATCTCCTTCTTGGCCTGGATGAATTTGCTTCAGTGAGCAGTCAAGATCACAATTTGGCATTTCACACCTGCAGTGTTTCTGGAGAACATCATGTTAAGCTACAAAAGGGAAAAGAAATTATTAGCAAAAAACATACTCGAAGGGTTCCAGTTTTACTTTCATATTTGATCTATAAAATCAGACAAAGTCCAATTGAAAACCAGTACCCCAAACTAAAACTAAGTTGCATATAAAAACATCAGTCTCAAAATTAGGAAGTAGCCATTCTATGCACAGAAATGGTAGTTATCAGTGCAATACTGGTGGCCTTCACTTAATGACTGCCCTGTTTAGCAACTGTATGAAGTTATGGCACTGGAAAATTTAAACTTAGAACAGCATTCCTTTGATCAAGTAATTAAGATTTTGCAACCAGAGAATATTTACAACTGTCATAGCTTTCCACAATCTAGTGTTTGCCATTTGCGCACTTCACAGCCAGCTTTTGACAGGCAGTGTCAATGGAGAAGCTGGCAGTAAAAATCACAAGTCGCAATCATGCGATGTCTCACTTAATCACATCATTTAGCAATAGAATTTCTGATTCCAATTTTGAATATTAAGTGAGGACTTCCAGTTGACTTGACATATCATGTCAGTGCAACAATTGTTTTTTTGCCTTTACCAGCAATTAAGCACTATGTGCTCTTCTTGAGAGCAGATACAAGCAAGTGGGAGAGGGAGAAAATACATTTACATATTATTAACAAGAAAGTAGTACTATACATCTTCTCAGAATGCTGAATCCCTTGGGATTTCCAGAAGATTGGAAACATAGTACCACTGAAGAAAGGCATTATTAGTATATATTCTGGCTACTATCAATCGCTAATAATTTTGAAAGTAGATTAATATCTGACTTACCTGTCAATCAAAGAATCTCTCATAGTGGTAGCAATGGTACTTGGCTGTGCTTCATTAAGTTTGAAGACACTCTCAATAACAGATAATTCTGTGCTGGTTGTGTCCAGGCCACAGAAGGCACACCAATCATTCACAACCATTCCAGCTGCAATCACCTCACTGCCACGATTAACAGTTCCAGCCTGGTAAGAAAGATAACTAGTATCTTAAGGACTCCTTTCTCATGTATTATCAGCTCTTCTTGCTTAAGGTTGCATGAATATAAATCTTATTTATAACTATTCAAATCAGCAGTCTTCAAACTTGATAGCTTTAAGACTTGTTGACTTCAACTCCCAGAATTCCTCCTCCAGTCATGTTAACTCAGGAATTGAAGTCCACAAGTCTTAAACTTGCCAAGTTTGAAGACCTTGATTTAAATAGATCAGATTTTTTCTTTGAAAACTTTTCACTTCTCATCCGAGAAGCTTCTTCAGCTCTGAGTTACAGTTAAGTTACAGTGGCATATAGATGGATCAAACTGTCGACGAATATATTCCCAAGTCATAAGATGTTAAGATTCTATAATTTGGCTCAAAATATAGTTTAAAGTAACTGAACACTCTCAAAGATTTGAACAGAAAAAACATTTACCACAAGGGGGACTTGCAACAACGAGGAAAGCTCATCCTGATCTTCTATAGAAGTCTTAGGGTGTACCAATCCTCCCTGGTTGCTGAATGTGCAGTAACTTCCCACAAGTACTTGGTCTGCTATTGTCTGTCTGAATACTTCGACTTTTAATACATCAGCTAAAATCTCTTCTGTCTCCTATGGAAAAAAATTGAGATTTAAAGTTAGGGTTGGTTAGAACACATTTATCTGATTTTAAGTGATCATAAAAAGTAACTGAAATGCCTATTTAGTGGCAACATTGATTAGCTATCAACTAAATCTTGTAAACCTATTTCAACCTCTACTGCACTGCCCAGCAACAGAACATGCCGCATCTTGCCATTCCATCCCACAGCACTCTGCACACTCTTGCTTCTTGTGCTGTGGCAAATCTAGCTCTTTTGTACCCCTGCCTCCACTACTGGTTCTGTCCTACTTCTTCCTCCTGATTGGGACAGGAAAGCTCCCTTCTGCAGATGAAGTTCTGCCACCCTGCTGTGGTCGCTGCACATGACCTGGGCCCAGCACCTGGATCCAAACCATCAGCAGAAGGAACAGGGCAAAGGTCAGTTGGAATGGGAGGCAACAGAGATATGTAGCATAGTGCAGGACAGTCAAACAACAGAGATAGTGGGAGAAAGGTGAGCGAAGAAACTTGATGCAAAGGGCAGGAGAATGTGCTCCTGGGACACTGCAAAGATTGTAAATGCGGGGCAGTAACCAAGTGCCCAAATTTCAATCACATGACCATGGGGGTGTTGCAATGACTGAAACCTTAAGTCTTAATTATCATTCATTCAGCACAAAAAACATTAAACTGTTGTTCAAGTTTAGTTACTGCAAATATAATGTTTAGTACTATGATTTATTTTTATATTTACTCTGTCAATGTCTGGGTGGGCAAGTGCTACGTAGTCATTGCATGCAGTGACATTGCCCAATGCAGAAAGACGTTCTTCCACCCTCTGGATTCGCACTGAGTCAGGAAGGCAGTTTCGAATATGCTGAAGTTCCTGGTCAGTAGTATTGTTTGGGACTAGTAAACCATGCCGGTTACCTAAAATATAGGGAGAAAAAATTGCCTTCAATTCCTATCTCCAACATTCTATGCCGTAAAGTAATAACTCAGGACATGATGAATGTAATCAATGTTCTTTAACAGTATCTGACCTATAACAATTTGCAGTACTGCCAGAGTTGGTTTTCTATCTACAGCACAAATGCAAGCATATATTTGAAAAAAAGAACAATGTTCTGCTTATTTATCACCTCTCTCAATTCCACTACTACTGTCAGGCATAAAATTGAATTTAATAAAAGTATTATAGATGAACAACAAGATAGTAAATGGAAATGGGCAACCATAATGAATTTAAAAGGACGATTAATCGGCTTTATATTACAAAACAACACGTTATTTTCATTAGCACCTCTTACAATAATGTATAAAATTTTGAAAATAAACAAGGCAGTGATGAGAACCCCACCCCATCCTCCCCATTTAATCTCTGTAGGCACTTAGATAATAAGTTTCTCCATCTTCCCAGAAACTCTAGGAATTGATGCAATGAGAGCCCACAGACTGAATCCAAATTATATGAATGTTTTCCCATTAACATAAAAAGATTGTCAAATACAATCCCATAGTATTATTGTTAATGTTTCAATTCTAGAGCCTGGTATCATTTCTAATGGTAAGCAAAAACCTTTAAACTTTTTCTAGTGATCTAAAAAGCTATCAGGATAAACATGAGCAGAACTCAACAGCACATTTAGACTTTATAAATGAAGAGCGCAATAGCAGCTTGCATTCCTTTTTTGAAATATTACAAACTATAGGTAGTCAAACTACTTGTCAAAATATATTAAGGATAAAATAGGATGAGAATTCTGCATTTTAAAGGAAATTCAAAATAATTTATATGAATAAAGCAGCTTACCCACACACATTCTGCCAATGATTCGACATCCAGCAATAGAAGCATGAATTACAGGAATGGTGTCAGAAAGCTCTCCCTCGAATACACTAAAACACAATAGAGTACGATTTAAACATGCGAGGAAGATCATGAAGTTCAATTCAAACATGCTTGAAGACTTTAATAAAGGGACAATTTGCAGAGAACTTGCCTTACGGACATCTTGTGATCAAACCTATTCAGTACAGGTAGTCCTCGACTTACAACAGTTCATTTAGTGATGGTTCAAAGTTACAACAGTACTGGAAAATGTGACACGACCATTTTTCACACTGATGCCCACTGTAGCCTCCCCCGACTCACATTTATGACAGTTGCAGTGTCCTGGAGTCATGTGATCCCCTTTTGTGACCTTCTGACAAGCAAAATCAATGTGGAAACCCAGATTCGCTTATCAACCATGTTGTTAATTTAATAACGGCGGGGATTCAAAGGTGGCAAGAAAAGTCGTAAATTAGGGCAAAACTGACTTAACAAAAATTTTGGGCTCAATTGTGGCCATAAGTAAAAGAGCAGGCCTTCACTGGTGCTGACCCCGATTTAGCCGTCATTTTTGTCTGCTTGGTTTTGACCCACCCAACCGGTCTCAAAAGACGCTTCAAGTCATAATCTCAGAAGGGGAAGAAAAAAAAAGGCCCAATGGGGCTCTTTCGGTATAAAAAGGAAGGGCCTTGCAGCCTTTCCCACTTATTTTTCTTTAAATTTATTGCCTGTCGGATAATCAAAGCAAATCCAGCCGAAGATCCGGAGGGGAGGAAGAGAAAAAAGGCCGACCTGTAGAAGCCCTCGGAGCCTCCAATGGCCACCAGGCAGTAGGCGTTGGTGAGCTTGGCGAAGCAGCCGATCTCGTTGTTGTTCTCGAAGCTCGCCCGGACCGCCATAACCGTCAAAGACCCGGCAAAAACAGGCAGAAAGCGAGTCCGCCGGCCCGACACACGAGGACAGGCCTCGAAGACCGCTGCCCGGAAACGGATAGTGACGTTATTCCGCTTGTGATGTCATCTCACCCGGGTTGGTGCTGATTGGATGACTGCAACCCCGCCTTGGCTCTCCTTTTGGGGCGGGGGGGGTGTCTCTCTTCCCGGAAGCTTCCGCCCACCAAACTGAGAAAAGTTGCGGGCGGGGGGAGAGGGGAGGGAGGGAGGGAGGGCGCCGGACTCGGAGGGCGAAACTCCGGGCGCCGCTGGATGAGTGCAAAGAGGCGGAGCTTTTCTACTCCACCTGTAGGGGGAGAGACGGCCCCGCCTTTTGGCTCCTCTTGGGCTTGGGCGCTGTTCCCTCATGGAATCCATTCGTGAATCTTCGGTACTTTTTTTTTTTTAGATGCCTCCTCATACGGCCAGTCCCAGTAGTATTGCGCCTTTTGGCCTTAGCACTCCAGTTATACTTTCTCTTGCGTTTAGCAGGATATCCCCATTTTCCACAGGTGGACTCTTCTGGAGATGGTAGGCCTTGGATCCACATCGCCGACACAAAGTATGTGTCTTTGTTGCGGCGCTTGCCAAAAGAAGATGTTCCTTTTGTCCTTTTCTTTCAGCCGCCAGAACGAGAAAGTCTCCTCTCAGAGACTTGGAGCCATGGCGGTGGTTAGATTTTGTCAGGTATACATACACACCATATACAGAGACCTCACAGAGAGAGGGAGAGAATGTAAATGTATGTAAATACGTATTTATTTGTTAAACTGTTTTACCACCCATCTCCCTCATTTTAATACACACACACACACACACACACACACACACAACAGATATAGGCATGCAGATGTGTGTGCATATGCACATGTGCATAAAATAAATGTATATGCCCAGACCACTTAACTTATATTTATGTATTAATGTGTATTATTAGGTATGTTCATCACCTTGTTCCTCATAAATTAAAAGGCAGATACAAATAAATGTCAACCTAAGGTATTTCCTGTTTTCCCCACACACCCCGAGAGATGGGCTGGGCTGAGAGTGTCTGGCCTGAAGTCAGAGCCCTCCTAAACTGCGGCCCCCATTAATCTCTGCTGGATCCTTCCATGCACGGTGGCCATCACTTCCTCTGTCCTTCCGGAACAGTCTCTTGGGGGAGAAACTGACGGGGGTTTTCTAATGGGCGAAGCAGATAGCTTTTTAGAGAATTCTGCTAGAATTGCTGATACCAGCCGTAGCAATAAAGTGGGGGAAGGGAAAAGGATATTAACAGAGAGGAAAATGTTTTTGTATTGTTGGAAGAATTATCTTTCTGGGTTCAATTCCAAGTGGGGAAAAAGACACTGGAAACATGGAGGCTGTTTGGAAAGATGGTTTAATGGTTGACAGGACCACATGGCTTGGAGCTCCAAAAAAGGAAGGGCCGAGATGCTGAAAGTGCCTGGGTTTTATACCATCTGTTGGGATTTGAATTTGAGCTTGTATTCTGATTGGTTGTCAAGACTCCTGTGGGGCCATGCAGGGGCAACTCTGTAGGCTGTCCTGAATCCCAGGCTTGGTTGAGCCTTGCTGGGTGATGATGTAATAAGGAAAGGACTTTGGGCAATTCCTATTATAGCTCTACCTGGAGATCTTTGTTAGGTAAAATAGGCTGGCCTAGACCAGAGTAATGCCCCATTAGCAAAGTTGTGTGTGGGGGGGTGAGTTTCTGCTTCTGAGGTGACTTTCTGCTTCTGAGTTTCTACTCTTTTTAGGGGAAATATTCTGCCTTTTTAATATTTCCTAGGATATTTCAATTTTCTAGGAGAGGGGTGGGTTTTAACTTCCAACAGTATTCTGGTTGGTTGTGCCTCACCACCTGGAACCATATCCTAGGTCAAAGAGTGATTCCTGTGTTTCTGGTGAAAACTAAGGTACTGTTTTGGAAGTGAAACTTCATCATTATAAAATATACTAATATGAACTTTGAACTAATTATATTAATAATTTTTAAAAAATCATTATTTTCTGTTCCATCATGACTCTCCATACCAATCATTGAGGAAGTAGCTGAATGGGCCCCTTTCTCTGTCAGTGCACTGCCTAATGCAAGAGCTGCCTGGTGCAAGCCATGTACAAGCACTGTGATTTGGGTTGGTCTCCCTTTGTTCCCCCCCTCCCCCAAGTGCTTCAGACATCTTGGATTATAGATCCCAGAGACCTAATAGGGACAACTTATGTACATCAAAGTGTTTTCAAACTTGACAATTTTAAGATATGTGGACTACAACTCCCAGAATAGCTGGCTGGGGAATTCTGGGAGTTGAAATCCACACATGTTAAAAATTGACAAGTTTGAAAAAATACTATTGTAGTTCAATATAAAGAAGGGCATATAAAACTCTCTATGAGCCATAGGGACTTTTTTTGACCTGCATTCAACAGAAAGGGAACTTACTGAGCTGTTCCTAATGCAACAGAATAATGTAGTATCCATTGAATGACACCGATTTGCTGGATTTGAATTGTTGAGTTTGCATAACAGTAAAGTAAAATATTCTTGATTAGTTTGTAGCTCAAATGTGTTGTGCTAACTAGTTAGCACTAACCTATTGCCTGGCCAAACGGGGAAGACAAATTTGGGCTACAAACAGATACTGAACTCTACAGTTGGCAAGAATGTGTTTGTTGTATTTATGTAACCACAGTTTATCTCGTTGGAGGGAATGATGTTTTTTATTCCCAATTGCCCCTTTAAATCAAAGAGTAAGTCATCTGAGGCACCTTCCTAGCATAAGTTACTTAACCACACAAATAACATACATTGATGTAAATACCAGAGATTTTTTTTTTTGCTTGTGAAATCCACTGTTACTTTCACTGTAAATCCTCATATAGTACTACTGAAGTTGTGTTTGCATGATGTACAAACTAGCCAACTACTTTTTAGTTCAGTATACTGAGTAAATCAGTTAATGCAGTGTGTTATATAGGCTCACAGCATTGGTTAAATGACTAAATCTCCCTTTTTATGACCTTGTAATCCCTTAATTCGGACTAACCATAGATAAATGTATTGTATAGAAATAGGCTTACACTGTCTGGTAAGCTGTATGGAAATAATAAAATCACCTCATTCCTGATAAGAGTTACCATGGAAAAGGACAGAATGGACAGGGAGCATGAAGATACAGAAAAGCTGATTTCAAGAGTGGATTAATTTTATGCTAATAAGACTATAACCTTAAGCTTTACAGCTCAGGTATTTTGGGTCAAGAGCTGCACGTGGACTGATGTGTATCAGGTCATACTCTAAAAATTATTGGGTGGATTAATTTGCTTTGAGTTCATGTTCTTTAATTAAAATTGTTATAATGAATATAATTATTTCCTAATCACAGATTTAATAGGACTGTGCAATGCTTTAAAGTCTGCATCAAAAGGATGCATCTGCCTATAGCTACACACCTTAAAATTAAGGTTGAGATACACACTTTTTAGAGTTTCATAGTCTAGCTATAATATCTCTACTTATCACAGGGTTTATCACAATGTGAACCTTACTGTAAATTTATGATTTGAGAGGTGGGTTTGGTTTTACAAATGAACTTGGAGAGAAATAGCACAAGTTGGAAGTTGCCACAGAGCAGAGATAGTTCTCAACTTACAACCATTAATTTAGTGATTATTCGAAGTTACAGCGGCACTGAAAAAAGTGACTTATGACTTTTTTCACATGGTAAAATTCAGCACTTGACAACTGGCTCATATTTATGATGGTTGCAGTTTCTTTTGTGACTGCCTGACAAGCAAAGTCAATGGGGAACCAAGTTACTAACTTAACTGCATTGATTCCCTTAACAACCGAGGCAAGAAATCTTCCCACCTCTGGTAAGTCTACCAGTCCCAGTCCATCTGGTATTGCTAATGCCCAAAATATGAAGATCATGGTTGTTAAATTTGCATAGTACTTGTGAGAGTTTCCTACATTGATATGAAAATCAAACTTTCCATGTTGCAATTTGTGTTGTAAATTTTGTACTGTATCAATCTACAATCAACCATTGGATGTCCTTTCAGCTTTACCTCAACGCCATCATGCCATGGTCTGACATCTTCATGCTCTTGTTGATGATTGGTTTCAGTTTCTTTAGCAATTTTTAGTTTTATGGGGTAGGACTACGCCCAACCCTCCTCACTTTATTTGGACTTGGGACTGTCTTGGTTACCTCAAAACAGAGTTGTTCCAGATAGAGTTATTTATTTTTTATAGCCTATATTTTTGGCACATAACCTCTATACTTTATTTAGTAGATGATAGTTAAACAAATAACATAGAATACTGTTTATTTCAAAACCACCATCACATTATACATTGTCAAAGTTATGATTAACCAGAGAGAGAAAGAAAGAAGAAAAAAGAAAGAGGCGTTCTTAGGGCATTTATACATTTAATTGCTATTGACAGAACTTCCAGTTTTTGAAATTAAAACAATGTTAAATTTATTATTAAAACAATCATAGCTTTTCTTGTGATTCCTTCATGAAATCTTAAAAATCTGGGTTAAACTAAACTCCCTCGGGAAGCATCAAATCTTGATTTTCAGAAATAACAAAGGTCAGTGGTGACAATTTGTTCTTCCATACAAAGTAAGATAAAATGTTTAACTGCTGACATATACTTAAGTATTCAAAAGACACTGCCTTTTGAGTTCAGAGGACTTCCTAGAACATCACTTTTTTTCTGGTCAGAAAATGGCTTCTTCTGAAGTTACTTATTATAGTGGAAATAAATTGAGCTCAGCTTTGATTGTATAAACCCATTATTAAAATCTGATTGATTTTTAATTACAATGTTAATGTATTTAAAGCATATAGCATGCGAACAGAATCAACACAATGTATCTTAGTTTTCCAGTTTGTAAACAAAATTCTAAGACAAAAGTCAATTAATATTATTTATGTTATTTATCATATAATGCAATCATTATATTATTGATATTTCTTTCTTATATAACTGCCAAAATACTTTTGTAATTTTTTTGCTGCGGCAAAGAGATTAGATTTATTAATTGCATAGAGTTAGTGTTCTGATATTTAAACTAAGAATTGCATTTTACTTGTCTTTTCCTATTTCTGTCATGTTTGCTACAGAAGGAAACAACCAAGAGGGTTTTTTTTTCTATGTCAGGGTGATTGTAATTTGGATTTCTGTATTGAGTATGGTATACTGATCAATTGAGTGAGCAGTACTATTAAAAGGAAATTAGGAATTATATAATAGGATTTCTGCAGTTCTTTATTTTCTGCTACTTTAGTAAATGTGGATTTCTGTAGTTCTATCTATCTTAAACAGAATTGCAGAATAATCCACTTGGGAGATTGAGATGTGTGCTTTTATCAAAGAGATGCATTATAAACACTCTACCAACCCTTTAAACCAAATTGTTTGTATGTATGTATGTATGTATATATGTGTGTATGTATATATATATATAAAAACTCATACCACCTCTTGGAAACGATCAAAGATTTACTCGTGGAGCAAGAAGATCTGCTTGTAAGTTTCGACGTGGTTTCACTATTCACTCAAGTCCCGATAAAAGAGACCCTTGAAATCATCAAAAATAAATACCAACCAGCTAAACACCTCATGGAACTAACAGAACACTGCTTAACCAACACATATTTCATATACAAAGGACAAAGATACAAACAAATTGAAGGAGCTCGCATGGGATCACCACTGTCACCCGTCATTGCAAACCTGTTCATGGAAGAATTCGAATCCAGAGCCCTGGCCAATGCCATCCACAAACCCAAACTATGGTTAAGATACATTGATGACACATTCGTGATTTGGCCCCATGGAAAAGAAAACCTAAACAATTTCCTAACACACCTAAACAGCACACACCCCAAAATCAAGTTCACCATGGAAATGGAAACAAACAACTACCGTTCCTAGATGTACTAATCTACAAAAAAACAGATGGCACACTAGGACACACCGTATACCAGAAGAAAACACACACACTAACCGCTACCTCAACGCCCAATCTCAGCACCACCCAGCACAGATAAACTCCGTGGCTAAAACACTAATTGCTAGAACCAAACGCCTGGCAGATAAGACACACATAAAGACTGAACTATGCACCCTGACTAAGGTACTGACAGCCAATGGCTTCCACAAAAGCAAAATCACCGGCTTGATCCACAAAAATACACTGAAACATAATGGAGACCCAGAAGATGAACAGACCTATGGAACAGCTGTCCTGCCCTACATAAGAGGTACTACAGACAAAATCAGTAAGATACTACACAGACATCACATCAAGACTGCCTTCAAAACAGGCAGAAAAATAGCAGCCATCTTTAGAAACCTCAAAGATAAAATTGACCTGGAAAACCAAGGCATATACGAAGTCCCCTGTGCATCATGCCCTGACACATACATTGGACAGACCAATAGAAGAACAAGTACCTGCCTGGATGAACACAAAAATGCAGTCAAAAAGCTGGAACACACTTCCTCACTAGTCCAACACATGGAAGCCACAGGTCATAGCATCAACTTCAGTGGCACCAAAACCCTAGCCACTATAGAAAACCCCAGCCACAGAATCACCAGAGAAGCCATAGAGATTGAAAAAAGACCAGAAATTATGAATAGAAGAGATGATTCCATCAGACTGTCAATCATTTGGAAGCCTGCACTCACAAACAAAAAAATCTCCACACCACAAGCCAGGCAAACAACTGGGCACAAACAGACCCAACCCCCCCCCCGATACCTCCAGCTCAAACACACCCCAACCAGGCACCCAGATGAAACCTAGCTTCCTAACAAATGATAGCCATCCATTTACCCGAAGCCAAGCCGCACTAAAAGCCTCCAATACAGGAACACAATGTTGCCAGCCAATCAAGACACAAAAAGAGCCACAAAACAGACAGAAGATATTAGAAACACCAATCAAGCAGAACACAGCAAACTCTAAGACCAATAAACACAGACCAAGATTTCCAACCAATCAGGATGAAGAAAAAACCATTCTGGCACAGCAATAGGCTGCCCCAAATTTAAAACTGAAACAACTGTAGGGGCCTGACTCACAAACGGACACAATACAGGAGCCTGATAATGGCAGATGACATTCTGCCGAAATGTTGCTACAACTTTAAAAGCACAACTACAATGACGTGGGAAAATACCTGAACAAAGCTGAATACCATACACGTAAGTACCCGTGAAAACTTAAGAAAACACACACACACACACATATATATGTATACACACACACACTATTTTATTTACATAGTGATATTCATCAACTTATTTCCATTGGTATGTATTTCCTTTCCCCCCCACACCCCAAGCTATTAAACTGAGAAATAGCCTTGTTCTAAACATGCCTCTCCAGTATTTCAGGAATTATGAATTATGAAGAATTCTCATTATTTCTGTAAGGAAAAAATACCAGACAATTTCAATGTTCAAAATGCCTGTCCTTTCAAATTAACTCCAGAGGTAAGTAGTAACAATCTTAAATCTCTTTCACAGGTATGTGATCATTTTTCTGGCTTTATTAAGCTTTAAACTTTCCCAATATTTTTGAGCTATAAATCTGATGTATTATTATAGTTTCATTCCACATTTGAAATATTTTTGTTACATTACATTTCAAATCGACTATGAACTGCTTTTGACTTTGATTTACTATAGTTAGTAATCAAATCCAATTTGCTGTGACCAAGTGTCATCCTTTTTTCAGTCCTATTTATGTTGCTGTTGTTCTCCATTGGCATATCATCAGAGCCATCAAGGAATCTAGGAACTGTGCCCTTTATTTCATAATTTATAGGTTTAATAGGGTTGTTAATGAATTCTAATTTGTTGTATCCATGAGGTCCTGATTTATCATTCTTATGTAGTTTGCTTGCATTTTCAACTGGTTGAGTATAAAGGAACTTCTTGTTATCTTTTGTTCCCATATTGTCAGGAAGATGTCCATTTCCTATGTCGTCAGCTAATATTGGTGAAGATACTGATAGCAAAGATGTCTTAAATTTCAATAAATTAGAAGCATCATTGAGTGGAGGCTTTACTTTATCTAATATACCACAGTTAGAGTCTGGAAACTCCCTAGGCTGGTATCTCAAGTCATGTCCCATTAAGCCTGAAATGGTTTTTCTTGTTTCACCTGGTGTTAATTCCTTCTTTTCACAGTATACATTGGAAATTGATTGGTTATCATATGGTGATTTCTTGATGGTCACGACACTGCAAGTTGAAAGGGTGCTTGATGGACTGAGGGCTTCATATTCGTTCTGTTGAATATGTTTTAAAATGGGGTCAAATTTCTGCATGGTCTTGTAAGGAAAAGGTGTGGAATTTTCAGCAGTGGGGATTCCAAGTTGATTCACTGATCTAGATTCAGCATATATACATCGGAACTCTCTGTCAAAATCATCAACAATTTTTCCTTTGAAGTGCATCACTAAACAGGTATGTACCTGGCTGCAGAGCCATGTAAAACTGAAATGAAAATAATTCAGGGACAACATGAAACATCAACATATAATTAAACTGTGCACATTTAAAAAATTGAAAATTCATTGGACAATAAATAATATTCATTTACAACATTAGTACTATTTTAAGTATATTTATCAGAATATCTTTAGCACTATTGCTGCAATACAATAGTGTATTTTAAAGCATTGAGAAAATAAGTGGAACAGTTTGATGGTCAAAATCTTAGATTAGTGTATATGTGCGTTTATACTATATTAGGCAATAAATGAAGGTAATAGCTGGGCATGCAAACAAGTTATTATGGTTAAATAATTATAGATAAACATTTAAATGACAGACTCAAAAGAATTATAAGAAATTGGTTGCAAGCTAATTATAGATTTCAAAGGTCATACTTATGGCTAAAGAGGAGATCTATAGCCACCCAGTGTGACTGGAGCTCATTTAGAGAGGAGTTACAAAATGATATGAGTGAGAAGAATTCTTGAGCATTTAAAAATGGTACAGAAAAATAATTTTATTAATCTCAGAAAATATAATCCTTGGTAGGGGATTTTTAATCAAATTATCAGTGATATCTAATCCCCAAATCCCTTGAAAACAGACCAGACTGCCAAATTATATAACCATGGTCAACTTCCCACTGGAATTTTTTTAAAGCCAACGTTTTGGGATGATATATTGTATACACTAAGATACTTTGAGACGGAGTAATATGGTAACATGGCATGGAGTTGGCAGGCTTCCTGTAAGTAAAAAGGTAAGATAAAGATAAAGCTGCTATTAAATATTTGTGTGATGAGTCAGGTGTAGATTGTTTAGGTGGAGTGTGCATTATCAATCAAGGAAGTAGTTGCAATTAATGCAAAGAAAAACAGTTTCCCTTCAAAATGTAGTCAAAGGTTGGCAACTAAGGCAAAAATAACTGAATGTTAACTAGTACACCACTCTAGTGCTGCTGCTGTGTGAGCTGCAGTGATTCCCAGTAGGCTTTCATATATAATTCAAAATGCTGGTTGCTACTTTTAAAGTCTTACATGGCATGGTACTTGTCTAACAACCTATCCACAATGATTTCCCCTGTCCCACCTGATCTGGAAGAGGAGGGAGGTTCCAGGTCCTATCGGTGAAGCAGTGTTTGGGGAAGCATGACTTCTTTGTCACGCTGTCCCCAAGAGATATGCATAGCCCCAACTCTGTTGGTTTTCCAAAGGCTGTGAAGATTTCTCACCAGGTACTAGGGCCAAATTGTTAATATTTAACAATGTGACACACTAGCAATGACATTTTTATAGGAACCTTAACTTGATTTTTTAAAAATTGATTTGGACTATGCACTATACTCTCACTTCTGTTGACTGCCCAGGAGCCCATTCATTAGATGAATAGCCCTGTAAATTATTTACAGGGTTGATCCTCCTTGGAGGTATCTGCCCATTCTACCAGATGAGATAGGGTGGGCATGTTCCAGGTACCATTCCTTAAATGCCATCCGGTAGGACCTTGGAGACACATCATTTCCACGGCTACCCCAGTCCTTTTCAAAAGTCTCCCCCATGAAATTTGGATAACCCCCCCCCCTCCCCATTCTTAGCTTGGGATGCTGTGGCACTTTGGTGGGAAATGCTACATCTTTTGCCGGGTTTGGGGGTTATTTTTTTTGTTATGAAATGTTGATATGAGCCACCTAGGATTATCATCTATAACTTAAGGCAGCCATGTAATATTCTTTTAAAAATAAATATATGAATATTAAATAAGCAAACATATATAATGACTTGATTTGAGTCATCCAGGATGTATTTTTATGTGGAAGTTTGGGTCACTGTGGTTTTATATGTATTTACTTGGAAATAAGTTGGGGAGGTCCTGAGACATGTCTCAACCTATTGTGTTGCCTAAGCTTATTTTTAAAATATGAAGTTTTGTACAAGTAGCCCTCACAATAACCATTTGTTGTTCAATGATCACTTGAATTTGTGATGATCCTGAATGGAGACTATTTATAACTGGTCCTCAAAGCCATTGAAGCACCCCTGTGGTCACATGATCAGAATCCAGAGTTTTGGCAGCCCACCCTTATTTACAACTACCGGGCACTTTTTCAACTCTACTCACCCACCTATCACTCCTCACCATCTCCGCTTTTTGACTGTCCTGCCCTCCACTGCCTCTGCCACTCCTTGCCACTGGAAACAGCTGATTCTCACTTCTTCCCCCTGCTGCGACTGAAGCATGCCCAGCCTGGCCCTTTGTGAGGCAGAAGCTGGGCACACACAGTTCTTGAGGCCTCCACCATGCAGCTTCAGAAAGCAGCAGCTGCCTCACAAAGAGCCAGACCAGGAGCACTTCATCAGTACTGGGTGGAAGAAGATAGCCAAGGTCAGCTGGTGGGGGTGGGGGTAGTAAGGGCAATGGAGTGCAGGTGATATGGGTGAAGGCAGAGTGCAAGGCAGCCAAAAGAACAGAGATGGGAAGAGAAAGGCAGGCAGGTAAAGTTGAAAGGAAGGTGAGCATAGCAGGGCAGCAGGAGCATGATGTCCTGGCCTAATGACCATGTAGTGCTGGCCTAATAATGGCAGTCAGAAGGACTGAACCTCTTCTGCCACCTTTTCAGAATCTCTGAAAAGTATTAGACTGTGGGGCTGGGATAGGAGTTAGAATGTGTTTTAAAACTGGAATCCTAAACTCCTGTTATAAGAGACACATTTTCAAAAAAGTCTTGTTTTATGTATGTTTTAATATTTTTTTGTACATTTACAAATAGCATATTCACCATTTGCAAATTTCATTTCCCTTCCGCTAAAATGGAAGATACACAGTTTTGAGTAGCACTAGAACAATCTTAGACACCTGACCCATAAGAAGGATACAAAGCACTGTAATTTTTAAATAAGAGTAATTTAAATAATAATTTAAATAATTTGCTACATTTGTTAAGCCAAGGGTATTTAAAAGGCATGGTTAAAAAAAATCAAGTTGCTAGCTGCAACTGTGCAATACAAACTCTGGAATCTTGGCTTTTTAAAAAAAATCATACCCTGCAATCACTCTGAGTTTGAACGTATTAGTCCCAGAGACCTTTAGACAAACAGACTATGTCCTTTGCAAATGACATCATTCTGAACTATACTTGTTATATCTCACCTGTAAGTCCCTGCAAGCACTTGTTCACAGTCTATCAACATAAATTTCTCAAGGGCTTGTCCTGTAAGCTTCTTGCCAGCTTTACTATAGTATGTATCTCCACTTACAGATCGTATGCGCATATTCTAAATAATAAGAAAAGCATAAAAAAGATTCAAAACAGATACTATTGACTTTCTGTGTAGAGCATATATATATTGTAAGTGTGGGATTCAAATGTTTTAACAACCGGTTCTGTGAGTGTGGCTTGGTGGTCATGTGACTGGGTGGACGTGGCTTGGTGGTCATGTTATTGGCTGGGCGTGGCCAACTCAATATCACTCACATCAAGGCATGCATCTCCTTGCCTGGTCTCTCATGATTGTGGGGATGCTGCAACAGTCGTAAGTGTGAAAAATGGTCATAAGTCACTTTTTCAGTGCCATTGTAACTTTGAATGGTCACTCCACACAAGCAAAGTACCTCAAAGGAGGAAAAAAAAAACTCCAGGAAGTTCCTTCCTTCCTCCAGGAAGTCTAGTCCTGCCAAGAATGTAATAAGGGTTAACAGAGAGACAGTTTCTGTAAGCAATACCAGAATGTTTCCTTCCTGCCTTCCTTACAGGATTAGGCCAGTAATTTCTTTTAACAACCGGTTCTCCGAACCACTTAGAACGTTAACAACTGGTTCTAGCAAATAGGTGCAAACTGGTAGAATCCCACCCCTAACTGTAACCCTGAGTGAATGTGAATCTTGGAATTAATGGCTGAGAAACATACCTAAATCAATAAATGTTAAAAAAAGAGTAAAATCCAGTACTTGTGCTCCATTAATTCTATCAGTTTTAATCCCAAGTTTATAATTTCTTTTTAAAAATCTCTTGTAAATTTCAAAGGACATAAAATTGCTGTCTAAATTAAGTATATCAAATACTACAAATGGCATGACCAGCAGTTAATTTGCTTCATGTTTAGTTAATGTATTGGGAATAGTGGACATAATTTGGAATTTTGCAAGTTTGATGTGGTCTCTCTCACAAAGTGGTGGTTAAGATTGATGCAGCCAATCACAAAATGTCCATTTTTCAGAAGGAAAATTGAGAATCCCCTGATTTTATTTCCTAAGAAAGTTGGGGGGAGGGGAAAGAAGACCCCCAAAATACATTATTGGAAATTCAGGTTATGCTCAAGATGGTATTTCAATTTGCAGCATGCATGATTCCCCATCATTTTTAATTAAAAGAATAAGACAAAGTTAGCATAAAATATTTGGAAAGTACTAAGTAATATGTTAGTGGGCACCCAGTAGACTGCTCAATCTCTGATGATGGAAAATTAGAAACCAGTATTATTTCAGTAATTTCCAGCCCTTATTTCAATATTTGAAAGCTGCAGTTGCTTTGGAAGAACGGAAAAGTACTGATAACAGCCAAAATGACAATAAGTTTCAAATGGTTGGGGTGATTGAATAAGATACTCTTATGGAATACAGTGAATTAGTCCTCGAATTATGACCATAATTGAGCCCAATTATGTTGCTAAGTGGGACAATTAAGTTTTTCCCCATTTTATGATTTTCTTATCACAATTGTTAAGTGATTCATTGTAGTTGTTAAGTTAGTAACTCAGCTGTTAAGCGAATCTGACTTCCCATTGACTTTGCTTGTCAGAAGGTCACAAAAGACAATCACATGACCCCAGGACACTGCAACCGTCATAAATCTGAGTCGGTTGCCAAGCATCTGAATTTTGATCATGTAACCATGGGGATCCTACAATGGTCTTAAGTGTGAAAAATGGCCATAAGTCACTTTTTGCAGCGCCGTTGTACCTTTGAACAGTCACTAAATGAACTGGTATAAATCAAGGACTACCTGTAATTAGTAGTTAGGCTTATCCTCACATTAAAAATGCCATAGTTACCTAAAAGGAAGGTATCCCTGCATTGAATATAATAGGCTGAACATTTATACATTATAAATCCAAGTAATACTTCGCTTCTCAACCTAGATTTATACACCAGAAAAATAATCCCAGAGATTCTTTTCCCCTGCAAACACAAGTGTCTCTCTTTGTGTGTGTTTGTGTGTAAACTGTTTGCAAAATACAGCATCCTAATAACAAAATTAATTGATTTTGCATATGCCAATCATTTTCACTCTCAGATATAAATGTCAATGCATACACATTCCCTTGCCTTTTCAAACAGAAACAGCAAACAACAGCAACAACAACTAGAATAGATAGCATAAATGGAAGTGACAGCTATTTTGACTCTTTTAATACACACACACATACATATACCTGTACATTCTCCTGGTCTGATTGAATACAGTCTTATACCTAAGGCACCTTTCAATTTTGTTGAGCATCAGAAGTAAACTTTTGTAATATATAAAGGTGGCAAGTCTGGATTTAAGCAAATGTGACTCTGTGCCATCTTTAATTTTGCCTCAGCCAATTAATTAAAATAATTGGATGAAAGCAATGACAGCTTTTCATCTTTTATACTGAAGCACAAGGCTAAAAATATGGACAACTGTGATTGTTGACTGCTTTCCTTCAGTAAATACGGTTCATATACGTATTAACTTTGGGCACTTTTTTGCTCTGGACTTTTGTTTGTTCAAAGGGTATATGGAAGGCAAAGGTTGGATATATGATATCTATCAACACATAATTCTGTCAGCCTTGGAAGCCATATTTTACTTGGAATCTTCAAATTCTTTGAAAAGAAATACTTATTTAAATTTTTTACTTGCCATCCAGTTGCACCTTATGCTTCAGTCCTGTTGTTTTACATAGAAAATGGATTATAACTCAACCCTCAATCATCCAATAAAGATGTATTAGTATTAGTGATATCATAACACTTAATAGAAAAGGGGAAAATATGCTTGAGAAAGTATCTTGGAATGGATTTTTGATAAGAGAATCATTATGGATCCCCAAACAGTCAATGGTCTATCAAGGACCCTAGGAAGGAAGGCAGACCTTATACTGTTGCTGTTGTTTTTGTTGTTGCCCTTTGGTTTCAATTATTGGCTTTAGCTGAACAAACCAACCCATGCTCATCTGGGTGATGATGAAAATGATTGAAATACAAGCAGATTTAAACTTGTCTTTTTTCTTCACTTTTATGTTCTATCACATTGTATTTTAATATTGACATTAAGTAAAAGAAAAAAATACCAAAACTGATTGAAAACATACCAGAAAGTCATCCATGGTGACCTCCATTTTATTGCACATTTCTGTAAACTCCTTTAGGTTTTTTTCATCGAGGATCAGATAAACAGGAACATGACGTTTGTTTGAAGCTTCTATCAGATCACTGAGTATTTCCATATCTGTGAATTGATCCATCACAATTGCAATCACCTGCACAATTGTTGGTAGGTTAGGGTAAAGTGGAGAGCAGAACAGAAGACATTGTCAAATGGCGATCAGTGGACCTGCCCTATTAAACAACCCATATAAGACTCCTTTTAAGTGCTTCAGGCTGCAATTGTTTTAAACTTTCATCAAGGCCTTTTCTGAAAATATAGGCACAGAATTGCACTATTGGTTTGCTTTAATAAAACAAGAAGGGCAAAAATAGTTAGCACTTAAAAGGTGAGTTTTGAAACTCTGTTCCATAGTGCTTCCTCACTAGTTATTTTTGAATCTTTTTCTTTTCTTCCCTCTGTTTTTATGGGAGAATCCAGAAAAAGTTTTGGCCAAATGAGTGCATTCCAGAGTTATTGAGCTTTTACAATATATAATCCTTTCCATCACAGAGAATTATGAGAAACTATTAATCTAGTGACACTTCCCCTATATATGCATGATTAAGACGCCTTGCATGTTACAGGCTGGTAGATTTGTTCTGGAATTGCTTTCCCTGTCCATTAACATTTTATAATGATGATATTCCAGATGACAGCATTCCAGGAGAGAACCAGGTAATTTGTCTCTATTATAAATCTTGATTACCATGAAGTGTATGTACAAATTGGGAGTGCACCTAATCCATTTTTTTGCTGCTTTCTCTCCTGACAGCAGAACATTTCCACGAAGAATTGATAGAAAACTTGGCTACAAATACAGTAGAATAGGGTGGCAACATTTTGAAGAGACTACAGTGATGTAAATATTGTGAAGATGGGGAAGTAGTTGCCCTGGGGCCTAGAGGCCCACTGTATTTCCCCTGGCAGAACATTACTTGCCCCTTGCCTTCCACAGACTTAATTAGATGGTCAGAAATGAAAAGAAATGAGAAGAAAGGAAATAGATATACTGTAGCTGAGCTGCAAAAATCCAGATGCCCATTAGCAAATTCTCGATTTTGAGAGTCTTGCCTTGAGGTCCAGAGAGCTCTCCTTATATCTCATTTTAAATGTTTTCCTATATGCAAAAAATCTTATCAACTAAGAAAACAGTTCAGAGGACAAAAATAGGTTAACTTTGTCCTACAATATGTTTTCTATTTGCAAGGAATTTCAAATGTAGATGGAGCATTCTGAAGAAGCATCTCTCTTTTGCAATTTAAAATTATCTACAATTATCCACTTCAAACATTAATCCCATAGAACTACTTTTAATTACTTTTCCAAAAAAAAATTAGGAATTTTTTTGACTCTTGGGCTCCTAATATGGCATGTCTGAACACTGCTTGTAGCCCATAATAATCCTACTTACGGTTGCTTAACCTTCTTGACCTACCTATGGGTTTTTAGAAATTGGTTTAATTAAATCAGCATTCTATAAAACAGAGTGTCCTCCTCAAACATTGTTCTTACTTTAAAACATGTCTCTGTATTTCACACTGACCCCAGAGGCATCTTATAGAAACCAAATGATTTGTTTGGAAGATGCCTATCCATCTCCCTCCACAAAAAACTCAAGAGTGAACTGAAGTAGGAGAGAGCCTATGTGGATTAGTGGGAGTGGCAGAAGCCAGTAAAACCTCAGTGTTTACCTGCTGGTAAATGAATAATTTGACATTATCCATGCCTTTCATGCTTCTTATTTTGTAAGACTTTCCTGTGCCATGTTCTCAGAAAACCATATGTACTTAGTGTATCCACTGCTCTGAAGATTTGATTTTAGGCTCTATCAAGAGAACAGTCTCCACTTCAGATAGATGAAGCCCTGTTTATCTATTCATTCATGCCTTTCTCTTCCGCCTGCCGAAACTGAAGATGGTTTACATTTAGAAAGTAAACTCCACTACCACACCTAATTAAACTATGGCAGCCCTTTTACCGTCTGTGCCAAAACATCCTGGAGAAAACTTTGGATTGCAGTGCTTTCTCCAGAGGAAAAAATTGGGAGCACTTCAATTTTCAGGAGGCATCCTGCCTGCTCATTGCCTGTGGGAATCACACCCTCTCTGAAAGAATGTACAGAGTGGCCCAGATTTATCTAAGGAAGAAAATCCTATAGGTATTTATTTGAGCCATCAAGTTTACTGGTTTTAGCATTGGCATTCATTTTGCTTTGTTTTCATAGGTATTTTTGTCAGCCCAATTACACCCCTCTCCCAAATTCTCATCCTGTATATTTGAGATAAATTTATAGGAGTAAATTAGTGGATAGGAGAAAGAAAATCTAATGCTTCTTTTATACAGAAAGCCTCTTTTCAAAAAGAAAAAAAAATCCTATCAGGCATTTTTCTTCAACCTGATTTTGAATTATTCAGAATTTCTAAGGAAAAGCCATTTGCAAAACAGAATTATATTTTTTAAAATAATAATTCCCATTTATTTTATGCAGTATTCTCAGACTTTTAGTTGTAATGTATAATATTAGCTTCAAATAGTATTCATTATTTTTGTTGAGTGGGCTAACTATGCTGACTACCCAAAACCTTCCAGCATAAACAGAATGAAAATCAGTTTTATTAACCTGAATAGGAATGGATTCCTAATCTATTTAAAATTCAAATCTAGCACATCTCTTACAATTTTCCATTCAGTAATTTGAAAAAAAAATTCCATTCAGTAATTTGAATGGAAGTGCACATTCACACAGGAATATTTCAGTATGATTTCTATACAAATGTTAAGACATCTGACTAGAAACTGGGAGACCATAAGTTCTAGTTCCACCTTAAGAGCAAAGCCCATTGGGTCATTTCCTCTCAGTTGTGGGAAGGAGGCAATGGCAATCCATTTCTGAAAAACTTTGCCAAAAGTATTGCAGGGACTTAGACAGATAGTCCCTGTGAATTGCATGCCATTGAACTAAAGAAAAAGAAAAACAGAATAGAACATATATGTGTGTGTGTTCTATGTTCTATAAAATATGCCAAAGTGGGGAATCTATGGTATTTGAGTTTTGAAGCAAATATCTTGGAAAACAAACAAAAGAAATCTGACATCTAATTCATAAACATTCCCTGGGAAAGTCACATTGTATGTAATGTTTTCCATATTTATTACTCATCAAAGTACTTCTTTGTTAAGCCTCAGCTGACTATAGCAAAGGCTGCCAAATTGAAGGCTCAATACCTAGGTGTGTCTATGGAATATTTTTATCTGCCACCTAAGGGCTATACCTACTTTAAATAATGCAGTTATAAGCATTTTCCTCACAGGTTAACACAATATGGAAATTCTGGTTCTAAAACAAAGAGCATATTACTCCTCTGATCTTTGCATCAGATATCCAGGGCATGTTATGACTTCTTTGCTCCATAACTGTGAAGTATAAATTCCAAAACTGCTATGATTTCATTTTAACAAACAATATGCCACCTAATCATTGGGACAATAAACATGGTTCTGTTCCTAACATTCTTTCAACAGTCTTCAAAATAAAAAGTGGCCAGTTCTGTTGACTAGCTCAGAAAACTTAAGAGTCAAAGAACAAAGGAACAAAGAGTTATCTTCATGGCTCATTTCTTTCTGCATGTATACCATTTGTTAAATATAAAAGTTATACAAACATAACAAAAATAAACCCATCAAGCAATACATTAAAGGTATATTGCAGAGCAAGAATTAAAAAAAAATTAAAATGGGAGCCAGTAGTTCTAAATTTTTTATATATTTTAGAAATTACACCGATTAGCTTTATCTCCTCTTTTTAAATGCCTTAAAATGTTCAACTTACTGTCTTGGCCTTGCTTATTAGAGATCGATGTAATTCTTTCACATTGTTTGCCTTCTCCCTTTGGAAATACAAACTGACTTCTGTTCGGTTGAGCACTGTGACAGAAGACATCATTGGCCAACCGAGCTCCAGTTGAGGGGGATCAATATCTGACATTAATGGGAAGTATGTCCCAGATGTTATCTCAGAGAGGAGAGATTCCCTGTCCATGCTGTCAGCTCTTGAGAGTCCTGCCTCTAGCCCCTTCTTTGGAGACTCTGGGATGCTTTGGATGTGCTGGCTCATGTAAGCCATGTCCATTGTGGAGAGGAAGGGCAGTTCTTTTTCTTTTGCGATGACTTGCAGATAGCCAGCTTCTCCTTGTTCCAGAAAGGAATCCACAGCTAGCCTGGCAGTCTCACTATGCTGTAGCATTGAAGGGCTTGCTTCTTTCTTCCAGGGCTTTTTCAGATCTTCCAGTCGATTTTTCAGTTGCCCTGTGCCCCCTTGGGAATTCCCAAGGCTTTTTGGGAACCAACTCATGCCTCTGGAGCTGGGTGATAAAACACCACAATCCTTGGTGTTACCTTGTCAGCGGGATATTCTGAGCTTGAGATGCTGTCTTGACTTTATAAACCCCTGTGATTCCACAATGAAGATGTTGAGATGAAAAACGTCACGAACAGTTTTATTTTATTTCTGGTTTTATTTCTGTTTTTGTAGATACCCCTCTTTTCCTACGGAGATAATTAGCTCAAATTTCTAATTTCCATGGCTTGTTTTGATGCTGTCTTCCTTATGGAAATGCTAAGAAGAGTTTCTTATCTTCTTTGTAGGAGCTGCTGCTTTTAGGTATGCTTCCTCAAGCAATAAGACTCAGTTATGTTCCCGCCCAAAAGTGATTTCTCTCTTGCAGTCAGAGCACTGAAACCTGTTTTGCAAGTTTTAATGCCTTGAGAGGAAATGGGAATGTTGAAACTTGTTCCAAGGTCAATGTGGTTTATGCAATATCTACAAACATGCATAAATGTTAAAACAATGTAATAACCTGGAAATGAGAGGAAAACTACAATGCATTTATTAGCATCCATTCTATTTTTCTACTCAAATATTGAAGAAACAAAAAGAGAATCACCAGTGCCACAAGACTGCAAATTGCTTTAATTCAGAGCAGAGAAGTGTTTATTCACAAGGCACCAAGTCCATATTTTGTTGAAATGCAACGAGTATCAGGTTGTTTAACTTTAAAACCTCATGTAATTTTCCTACTCTAATTTGCACTCCTATTTGTCTCCTACTTCCACATGTCTCTCTGTATGTGTATATAGAAAGTAGGACTCTAGGCATAATACAGAAATTTATGGAAAAACAACAAGGTAATAACAAGGTTAGGTTAGGAAATTTAGATAGAAAGAAAGGATTATGGTGCTTTCTGGATTAAATTTGCAGCTTCCACAAATGAGGAAAAATCAGGAGCCCAAGCATATTATTGTTAATAATTTCTCACTATTTTTACCATGTGCTATGGGCAGAGCTGGGAAACAGAAATTTGAGTGGGTTGATCTTTACTGAATAAAAGTCATGGAAGCTGTGTGCCATTTGTATTCATGGTTAACAATTTAATGTTTATATGAATAATATTGGGTAGAGTGAATAATGGCTATATGTGCAATAGATTAGAATCTGAAGGCTTTGCCTTTGTCCTACTAGAATGTGTGTGTAAGTGTGAATGTGTATAGCTCTGATTACCTTGAGCCAATCATTTTCTCTCAGTCCTAGGAAGCAGCCAATGGCAAAACACTTTTGAAAGCTTTTAGAAGAAAACTGCAAGGACTTGTCCAGGCAGTCTCTGAGAATTGGACATGATTGAATAGAAGAAAAAAAAAATGATACAAGAGTCCAGGTTTGCCCAGAATTGTAAAAGTTGTTAAGAGCTTTAAATTCCAGCTATATTTGAGCTAGTTATGTTTCCTAAGTATGGAAGAAAATGCACTCTGGACACACTTGGAGATATATTATTTCCTCTCATGAATGCGAAGCTTGACCCCATTTCAAATTAAGTTCTGCTTAAAGCACTGAATAGAGAATGGATGAACTAGTAGCCATATTGTGAGAGTATGAAACAATTGGACTTCGGATGGACAGATTTGGGTTTTCAAGAAGTTGCCATTGACTTTAACGTGTGTCAATATGTTGGGTTGCTGGTTGCTCTGCAGCACTTATTAAGATGATAGAGATAGCTATGGATGACTGGCATTTGTCAGTATGAAAATTACTGTCTCAAACCATTTTTTTTGAATGAAGCAATAAGTAGTTGAGTGAATATCATTTTAATATTCTCACTCAGTATAATTAGTCTTAAAACTAGAAAATTTGAAGGAAAGGGGTGTTTGGACTGCACTGTGGTGAAAAAAAACTTAAATCCATTTTTTCTAAGATTGTGTGGCAACTGCACAGCCTTAATACATCTATTTTCCTGAAATAGGCCCACCAAACTTATAATTTTATTGATAATTTGTATGTTTCCCCATCTAGCCTTGTGTTGGGCTAAAACTTTCATCACCCACAAGCAGCAGGGTTTTATGTATTGTAGTATTTTGCTATCTTCATAATTGACTCAGATTGCTATCATATAACAGCAGATATCCTTTCTTGCTGTTTCATTTATTATAAGTAAGAAAGATGCAGAAGTGAGAATGACCTGGCTGGAAATGCCAGTTTGGAGATCTTATTAGGATTTATGTCACCTTTCACAAATTACTGATTGTCCCCCAAATCATATAGCAACCATATCTTGCTCTGATTGGGATATAGTAGATACTGCTAGGGATAATAGAAACATCTCAAGCAAATAGCACAAGATATTGAAGAATTAATAGAAACAGTCTTTAAAAGAGAAATGAAGGATGGGAGCAATCAAGGTATCATGAGCATTGTTACACGAAGTAGATACTTTTTTTAAAAGGAGTATTTTCATTTTTTGACAGAGATTTCTAGAACTGACTTGAAGACTGAAGAATTATTGTATTAAATCATAACGCTCCAATGAAACATCACATCTGAACTCAAACTGGAGCCTTCTGCATTTTTTATTCTTGTATCCCAAATAATCCAAGCAAACTTTTAACAAAATCCATCCAAGAACCAGCATTTACACCTCAAGTATTTTCATATGAGTTGAGAAAAGCTATGCATTGACTTTTATAAATATGATTAATGAAGTGTCTCAGACAACATTCTTGGCCAAAAATTAATATAATATACCTACTGAATAATTATACTTGTCTCTAAACAAGATGTTAGACCAGAGTCAACATTTCAAAGGCTTGGCTATGAATCACCAAAGAGAGAAGCCTTGGAGTTTACCTTTTAGCACTTCTCTAAGATAAGAAACAAGCAAAACATGTTAAGAATGAATACACTGGATGAAGCCAGAGTCCCACGTATGTTTAATCCCTGTTCTCCTGCAAAGAGGTGAAATATAGAAGAGGCAAGTAAACTCAGGAAAGAATAATTGTCCCACTCACCTCTTGTTTACAGGAAAGAGGGGTTTTTTATAGCCTATCTATGTTCTGAAGGCTCTGTCTATGACTGCTCTTAATACCTATTGTCCTTTTGGACTTTGAGTAATTGGAGTTCCCAGTTACTGTTTGTCAATTTCCTGGTCTTAGCAGATTACTTCCAGCCTGCTGCCAGACAAGATTTCTTACCAGGAGCTCAAACATGGACACCCTCTCTTTTTTAACAGCTTATGTTGATAATCAAAAATTGCAAACTAAAATAATTTCATCTTTCATAATTTCATCAGACCAACCAAGAATAATACCCCAATCAAGGTACTGCCAAACAAGTTAACAGGAATTAGCCCAATCAAAGAATCTCTAAAACCACTCCCATCAACGTTGACAGGGCATGCCACCAGAATATAAATTGAATGCAAACCCCACTGCTTATTGGAACTGATAATGTTACCAAATCTGGGTAATGAAGTGTCTACAAGTAAACAACCAAGCTCAGAGGCACCAAGGGCCTCTCATTTCACTCTGAGATAGAAATATTCTCCTTTATCAATTTCATCTTTCTTAACTGAGTGCATTTACTTGTAATCTGGAATTTAAAGGGATAATTTTAATGTTTTTTCCTTGTGCAATCTATGTTTGTTTCCAGTTGAACATTTCCCTGCTGAAGTACTTCCTCTTTCTGTGAGTAATTGTTCTTACCTGTAACCTAAAATCTAAAGGCAAACATTTTCTTTCTTCTTTCCTGATGAAAACCTACGTGAGTAGGATGAGGAAGGATGTATTTTCACTTATAACATGAAGCTCTTCTTCCTTTTTTTTCTTCCCCGATCGACAGAGACTACCCTCCTGAAATTAAGATTTATAGATTTCTCTTCAAATGGTTGGTCTCCTGAGTGAGTTATTGTAATTGGTAGATTTTTTTTAAGGTTAGGGTTTATTGTGATCTAGCCCCTTGTCCTCATACTTATTCATATACTTAAGAGCAGTTGCACTGAGAGCATTAAGGATTATTCTTTGCAGCCTTTTATGTCTTAGTCATGCAATTATACCATTGTATAGAAAGTTGAACGAACCTATGGAAGGATTAAATTTTTTTAGGTAATTTGCTTTTTTAATTGTGTAAATTCCAAATTTCCTGTTTATGGAGGGAAATGTCCATTTCATTTATGTATATTGTCAACTTCTAGAGTTGCTTCTAGATATGACTTCTAAATTATTAAATTTGATTCTATTGCCTTTTATTTATGTGGCATTATATTATCCTCTAATGAAATTGCCTTGCTTTATTCCTTTGTTAATTTTTAGCTACGTTTTTGCTTGTTTTGACTCTAATACTTTCAATATTATTGAAAGTAATTATCTCCACTCATTTCAACATAATTTTATGATTGGTTTGGGACAGAAATAAATGGTTTTCTTAATATAGTGACTTTTGCGAGGAGCAATATAGATCAGGGGTCGCCAATCTTTTGGACGTCAGGGACCACCAAACTCATATTTTTAAATCCCAGGGACCACTAACTGGTTCTGTGGGCATGGCCTAATTTGTGGGTGTGGCTTGGTGGTCATGTGACTGGCTGGGCATGGCTTGTATGTAAATATTATATTTATATAAATATTGAATTTTTTATTAAAAAAAGAGCAACTTTTTTACCCAAAATCAGGCAAAGCAAGCAGGCAGATTGAGTTGCTCACAGCATCATTCAGTGATCTATCTATCTGCCATCGGCTAGCTCAGTCTCTCAAATTTGCTTGTCGTGAGTCTGCACTGGATAATAGAACCTTCAGTCCTAAGGGAGGTGCTTAAAAGCAGAGCCCAAGATCTAAAGACTAGCTAGAAACCAAGAAATCCAACCATTTCCTGCTTCCTAGCTAATCTAAATCTCCCAGCACAGCCAAACACCTGATGGTAGGAAAAAGGAAAAATAGCAATTTAGCAGGCAAGTTTGCTGGGTAAGGAGTGGGCGGGGAGGGTTCCCACGGGCCATGTGGGCGGCACAGCCTTGTTTTTCTGTGCAGCCTGGAGTAATTGCTCTGGGGGGGTCCTCCAGGGGTGACATTTCTCTGTGGCCCACCAAAATTTTCTCACGACCCACCAATGGGCCACACCCACCGGTTGGCTACCGCTGATATAGATGACAGTTCTGTTGGTCTCCTATCATTTTTAATACTATCAGGTATGGCATCTTAGTAAGCAGCCTTGATAAGAAGATTCACTTTGGCAGGAGCCTGAAGGTTCTAAAGATGTCTCTTCCCATATAAATTATTGCTAGATCACTGCCTATCATCTGTGAAATCTAGAGTGTCACTCTATTGAAGTGATTCAACATCTCAATTTTCAGTCCATAGTA